AGGTGTTGAGGACCTCTGCCTTTTCAGCATTGTTGGTGACTAGTTCACCTTTCCTGTTTAATGGTGTTTCTATTTCTGCTTGTTGTTAATGTATCAGAAGAACCCTTTCTTGAAGTTTCTGACATCTCTGGCTAATTTCAGTTCAAGCTGAGCTTTTGCTTTCCTAACTGCTTCTCTGCATACCCTGGCAATGCCCTTGTAATTTTCAACAGGTAATGTTCCACTTTTTCGTCTCTGGTATATTTCCCTTTTGGTTCTGAGCAGACCCAGAAGCTTGCAGTTAAGCCAAGGTTGTTTCTTGCTCTGCCTACTTCCCTTGTTTTTAGAGGGGATGAACTGGTTTTGTGCATCTAGGAGAGTGTTCTTGCAAAACTCCCAGCACTCACTAGCTCCTTTTTCCTCCATGGAAGCTTCCCACGGGATCCCTTCCAACCAAGCCCTGAGCAAGTTGGAGTTTGCTCTTCTAAAGTCTAACACCTTTGTCTTGGAAATTACCTTCAGCGTGCTCAGCTTTATCCCAAACTCCACAGTGTTGTGATCACTGCAGCCAAGGCTGTCACTAACCGAATAAATATCACTACAATGGAGAGCAATCCTAAAAGCTTACAAACCACTTATTTGAAAGTGTGGTCCTGCTGCTACAGGCAGTAATGAAATAGAACCCCTAAATATGTAGCGTTTTTTAAAGAAATTTGCATTAATCCCATAGCAGCTAAATTATTTTTTCCAATGAGGCACTTCAGTCACCTAGTATTAAGCAGATGATGCATACATGTAAAACTATAATGTAGCAAAGATAGTGCATTCTGGGCAGCCATTAGCAAACCACTTCTAAACAATTTTAGCATCTCAGGCCTGGTTCAGATCCTTAGGCTTGTACAACTTGAGGTTAATTAAATACTTCATATATAAGGACACTTGGAAAGAATTTCATCCTGTCTGTTTGGATTCAAATGTCCTTGATTGGAGGAAGGAAAGAGTTCGCAAATACATCTTTCCTCCTTTGACAGCACATTCAGAAAAGCAGTGCCCTTTGGTAGACCTATCTGTCTGAAGGATTTTGAGGGGAAATGTCTCTAGTCTTTGGGTGAAATGCATGTAACAGCTGTGCTGCAAGTGCAAAATCTACTTAGAGCATCTTCAAAGGCCCTAAAGCAGTTTAATCAAATAAGTTTCTCAGCAGCTGTGAAGTCATCCTGCCTGTTTGGATGGGCCTATAGCTGGAGCCTATAGAAACTTGTCATTACAAGGCTTTTACCTCTCTTGAATTTGACGTAGTTTGTAATCAGATGTAACATGACAGCAACAGCTTGACAAGCTGATAATACACTTCACTTGCAAAATTCATGTGCTAAGACTGCAAACACATTTTTATTTAAGCTATGTCATGTTTAGGCATAGCAGGAGGATTTCTTTTTCTTCTGTGGATCTGCTATAAAAAGTCTGAAGAGATCTTGAGTTTTTATCTTTTAAAACATGACTGATATTTTTATAGCCTCTAAGAAAACACTTAACTTACCCCAGTCACACTAATTTATTTGGACAGTCATTCAGATAGAAAGCGCAGGCTGAAAGAGGTTCTCTTTAGTATTTGCTCCATGAAGCATGTGTGCCCCTTTTTCTAGCCATTAGGATGTTTCATAAGCTTTTATTATTTACCATATTGGTGAAAAATAGAAGGAGATAGAGAGAAAAAGAAATAATTTTTTTCAGGTCCAAGACAAAGAATATCATTAAGGAAGTCATTGGTGTTGTGAAAAAAGTTCTTGGTCATTAAGAAAGTCCTGCAGTAGCTTCTAGGGATGATCCAAGAAAAACTGGAGAAGTTTCCCCTACTGATGTAGTATCAGAGCAAACACAGCAATGCCATGCCAGGGTGTCATGCTGGACTGTCTGATGGCTGTGAATCTGTCATCTGATGAGCCTGTTTGGTCTTCCACTCTGTGAAGATGAATAGTGCTATTTGTGTTCCTCTGAGTCAAATCCTGCTGCATTTAGACATTTTCACTCACTTCACTCAAGTAAAATTCTGCCTAAAATAAGTCTGAGGAGTGACAAAGGAGATGTGAGAATCCCCATGTATGCTCTGCATCTGGCAGAACATAGGAGGTGGGTGTTCAGTGTCACTTGCCACTTTCTTTACCATACTCCTCCAGAAAATCCTGAGTGGGTTTCCATAGGGATTCATTTCCGTGGAGTTAGGAGGAGGAGGCAAAGAACAGGGATTCAGACTGCATAATTCTCATTCAAAATAGAGGAAAGCAGAATAAGTTAATAGAATCTGAGTCCTTATTAACACAATCTTTCCTTCCATTTTGAAGAATCCTTCTGTAGGATTCATGCTTAAGAACACTATGAATATTTTTATATACATATATTCAGTTCTACCAACTTCCCTGCTTTGTATCCTCTAAAACGGTATGTCTGCAATCAGTTTTTCTCCCCCTACATAAGAGCATGAGCGTTACTTTCCAGGAACTTTTCCAAGAAAATTTGAGGGCTGAATGCACTGGAATACACTCTTCCTCTCTCTGTACTTTTCTATGTGGGAAAGAAAGAAGAGTTGAGAATTAAAATTTTCAAGCTATACTTATGTTGTTTGCATGCTATCCCCACAACTCGTTAAATAAGTGAAATAATATTATTTTATACAGCCTGGGGTTCTCTTCTAACAGTCTTTCTTAGATATGTGCATTTATTTAAACAGTGACGACTATAACATAAATACCGATATTTTTACTCTCACTCCCTGGCTTACCTGCTATTTTATTCCTCATTCATATTCATCATATTCTATGTTGTGGTACTAAACCTTAACAATTGTTCATCTGATTCAATTAATTACGTTACTGGATATACATTGTACAGACTGAACTATCTTTTTTTGACTGTAAATCAGATTTCAGAAACATTCTTCTTGTTATGTTTGTCCCTGGAAAACACTGGACGGAAAATTGCATCTATTAAAACTGCATTCATTATCAAATCCGCAGGAAACTAAGTTTTTGAATTAATAGCAGTTTATCAAGCAATGTGTCATAAAAGGCAGTAACTAAAGAAAACCAAAGTAAAACATTCACTTTCATTATTGAACATTTTTAGCTTTATTATTATAATAGAATTACAGTCTGACATAAAATAAAGAGCTTTTGCTAAACTCTGTAAAGCTATACATGCTTCTGCCATAAACAACCTCTATTAGATTTAGGTTTTATTGCCACATCACTGCACTGAGGTGCAATAAACATTCAATGTCATCTTTTTTAAATTATCCCAGGAGTAAACAGAAACTGTCCTCTATAAGAGTGTATCATTATTTTCAAGGAAGACTTACTATTATTACATGGTTTAGCAAAGCATTGTAAAAAAGCTACATAGAGAATACCTTGTCTTTGATAAACTGTGCAATCAAGTTTATACAGTATAATACTATTGGCATAGACTAACTAAGAGGTGATATAATGCAATCATTGCATAGCAAAAAGCAGACTAGTTAAGTAATATTCACATCTAATGTGCAAAATGCAGACCAAAAGGTAGCTATGAATTGCTAGAAAGTTAAAATGTCATAAATGAACACACTAGTTTAACGCCAAAAATAACAAGATAAACAAGTACACAGAAGTTAAAGAGCCATAGTTTATTTTTTTCTATACATATATCTACACATGATACCAGAAGATGAAACATCCCCTTTTAATAAGCTCCAATCAGATAACTTATCAAGTTTAGACAGGACCAAATGTTAGACAATGAAGCATTATTTAAAAAAAAAAAAAAAAAAAAATCTTCTCTAAATAGAACATTAACTATTTCCTTTTGTAGATAGAGAACGTCAACTTTTTGATTTCTTGAGAAAGAGTTTAGAAAACATTGCCTAGGAAGTTTGACTCTCAGTACCTGTTTGTCTGGAGGCTGATGTAGCATTGTTTTAAAATTCATTCAATAGCATATATTACATTTTTTTTTAATTGATGCTTGTAAATATCCACCATTCTTCCCATCTTTTTGAAAAATCTTTATCTGAAGTTTTATTTCTAGGAATCAACAGTAAAGATACTGACTAGAATTTTTTTAAAGGGAGCACAATACCTGCAAAATGGACATCTTGTATTTAAAGCCCTTACATATTGTTCCTACAAATATATTGCTACAGTAAAAATGAAATGTAGTAAGTTTACTCAATAAAATCTATTTTTCTGTACATTCTTTTATGTATGACTTTTTTGTATTTAATGCTACATATATTACATCGCTTATTGTAACAGTTATGTATCAGCAAATATAGCAGTAATATACAGATGAACTTCTGTCTTAACAAATATTTCACCATTTTTACCTACCAAATATAATCCCATACTTTAGTATTTATGCATGACCTGAGCAGACCAGTCATTAATCTAATAGTATACATTGGATGACATTGTCAAATTGCAAGCTACTGTACACTTAACCACTTTACAAATGAAAATAATTCCAAACACTTTCTGCATATTTATTTTTTTAGGCTTTCCAGTACCACTGAATTTTTTGTTCAGGCTCTAAATATGTTTTATTGAGCATTTAACAACATATTAAGAGCTAAGAGGTGAATCCTACACAATGTTTTAAGAACATAACTTTAAAAAAGTAAAAAAATGTACAATCTCATGCTGCATATTTACATATATTATTTAAATACTATATTTTGTCTTTCTGCTACCCATAAATCTCAGTCTAAAGCTTCTTTTTAATGTATCATTTTATAAAAGAATACATTCAACATATCTATAGCTTGCAAAAATTGATGGTTGGTTTGTTTTTTGTGGGTTTTTTGTGTTTGGTTTGTTTTTTTTTTTTAACTCTCTAAAACATAGTAATGAGTAAAAGCTCTCTGTAAAAGCATCTAGGAATTGTTTGGATCACACAGGTGATAGAGGTAACTTGGGATCTGCACTTGATTGTGCAACTGGTTTTAAATCTAGTCTAGTGACAACTTAATGCTTAGAAGACGACTGCAGTAAGACAGCAGATTAAAGCATTTGTTACCATTAGATCTTATGTGCTATACAGTGACAAACTGTACCTAGAGTGAGTAGATGTCATTTTTCTTTAAAGAGCATTTAATATTATAAATCAAGTGATTTGGAATATAGAAGAGAAAAGGGATTAGGAAAATAACATATCTTACGGGATTCAGCAAATGGAAAGCTTTAAATCCTTGGAAAGTTTATAAACAGTGGTTGAATAAATGGTACAGTATAGTATGTGTATCAGGAATGTCATAAAGAATATTTTCCCGCTCCCCACAATCCTTTGAATAAAAATATCTTTTTCATGTACATATACAATACCTTTTGGGAACATTCAGTACTAAGCTATCTGCAAATGGTTTCCTTTTTTTTTTTTTTTTTTTTTACTCTACAGGTCTTTCTTTCCCATTTGCAGAATCACTTTTCCAAAGTATATAGCTTATATTGTTCTCTCCCTCAGACACAGATTTTTTAAATATACAGATATATTTTACCTTTTGTTAAATAAAGAAACCTTTATTTTCTTTAAGACAGAGGCAATGAAGCAAATGGGAATTACTGTATGTGAAAACGGGAAGCAATTCCCAGAGCAAAAGACGAAACAGAACTATACGAATAAATGAGGTTATTGATGTGGGGTCGGAGCTTTTAACTGGGGCTCCCGGTTTAAATAGGTAGCCCAATAGACTAAGTTAAAGATTCCAAAAAGCAATGGGAAGGCTATTCTTGATAGTCGATCAATTTTACTGACGCTGTTAAAAGTTTTCTTGGGTTCTGCAGGTTTTGTTTCTGGCTTAACTTCTTTGGGCTCAATTGTTGCACTTTTAGCAATGGTTGCCAGCCCAGGGTCCCTTGCAATATTAGGGGTGTAGCTCGTAGCTGCAGCTGTGTACGTGTTATTTTTCTTAATAAGAGGATCCTTCACTTTCTTTGGCTGAAGAAAGAAGAAAACGTTTTACTCTCACTATTTTCTTAACAGACAAGATTATGAAAAAGAACTATTAAATTCTCCAATTAATCAAATTTCTACCACAAATTGTAATAAGCTGTAAGGAAGAAGTTAGTGTCTTGATACATGACTCATGCAAAATATTTAGGTGAAGACAAAGACAAAATCACCCATCTGTGTTACTCGTATTAGTTAAACCAATTTAGATGATGGATAAACTATAATAAGGACTTATGCTGATAGCTAGGCTCACTGATCGACAAAATTAGCTTTAATGGTAATCAACAGTGACAAACCACTTATAATTCAATATTCCCTTAATCAACTGTGCTTCTTGACAACTTTAAAAGACACTAAATTTCTTAATATAGCTTTTCATTAGTAAGCAAATAATGTTATATGATGCATTCTAACACATTTCATACATTAAAAAATACAATAAAAATATCATGTGACCATGCACTAAAAGAGTGGACTATTTATAAAATGCAAAGCTGACAGCATTCTGTTCACTAATGGTTTGCACCAAAAGCACATGCATTATGGAATAGAAACTTAATGTTCTTGTTTGAATGCTACAATTGGATCATAATGGATGAAATATCATTCCACAAACAAGGACTTAACTAGCCGTATGATTTTTGCATCCACGCGCCTATATTGCTAAAGCAAGAATGTATTGAAAATCTTTTAGTGGACAAGAACTTATTGATCAGAAAGAATATCTAGATTTTTTCCCCTGGGTCCTTATGTTTTCTAGCATTTTACTTCTGGCACCTACTTGTAGGAAAAAAATTAAATTTTTACATCTGGAGATACCAGTTGGAATTCAACTGTCCCTGTTGCAGACAGTCCAAACCCTTCCTCCAGCCACTGCACAAGGATAAACATGGAATATCAGTGGAATGTTATCTGTTATGCTATTTCACAAGATAGCAAATATAACACTGTTTTTGAGAAGCAGATGTCCCGTGGTGGCGATATTTTTTAAAGTAGTCACAGTACTTTTTATGACAGATCAATATAGATTAACAGCTGTATAGACGACTCAGTCAGGGGGCTTTGGTAGAAAATTCTTGTTCAAGAGGTGAACATTTCTGGGAGCAGACTGTGAAGGGAAGCTGCAAAAGCATCATGGCAAGTGGGGAGAGGCTTGTCAAAGAATGACTTGGAGCCCCATGCAGGAGGGAAATGAAGGCTGAAATGCTAAATTTCTGCTACTTAGTAAGAAAAGGTATTCACACAATGGCTCTGATATAGATGCTCTTTATTTCATGACAATAATATTCAGCTTAGCTTGAGGCTAAGAAAAAACTTCAAATTGTCTTAGAATATTTCTGCTGAATAACAGGAATAAAGAGGTTGAAAAAAACACTCAGAAAAGAAAAAAAAAAAACAACAATGTCAGAAAGATTTTTTTTTTTTTTTTCTTTTTTTTCAGTTGGCTGCGCGTTCTTTTCTTCCTGAGTAGGAAGGCTGTTAACACACTTGCTGAGTATGTTTCCTTCTCAGCCAGGTACTCTAGTGAGCAGCAATAAATCCAGCAGGCAAAGAACCATTTTACAGAAGCCTCAGAGGAGACCCTTTCTATAGATTTAAATGTCATGAGGAATCTGACCTGCAGAAAGCCCTGACACCAGTTAGTTTGCCTTGCTTGCCTTTCCTTACGTTTGCAGTTAATGCACTCTACCAGGTACCAGTACGTGTTTGCTGACTTATATGAAACGAGACATAAAGACCCTTACTTGCTGAATGCAAAGCCATAAATCTTCCAATGTTTTAAACATTGTTTTTATATTGGTGGGGTTTTTTTTCTGAAAATGTAATTTTCTTTCAAACAAAAGAAATTGCTGATTATAGTACGTATGGTACAGGGTTGGTTATATTAACAGGGCAATATTTACTGTTTAAGGATTTTATTATATTAATACAGCCCATTTTTACAATAGTTATCATGAAGATAGGAGCACAACAAAGAATCAAACAAATTATTTTCAATTAAAGTATCATCAGTAACCGAAAACTCAATATTCACCAGCAGTCATGCAGCTCATTACTGTAAGCTTGTTTTGATACTTCATTCATTTGTTCTACAACACTTTTGTATTAATTGTTGTGTAATTGTCCTAATTTTATTCCTGTTTTCTCACTGACTTATGCAACTAAAATAGAAAAAAAAAAAAATAATAATAGGCATACACTCCTGAATTAAACACAGATATTCGCATACCAATACGTAACATCCAGTATGTCAGAAGTAGCATTTGGGTACTCAGTGTCTAATTATTGTTTATGTGTAGGAATGCTGTGTGTGAACACAGGAGGAAACTCTTTTGGAATAATTACTTACTATTTTAAATAATAAGAATTTCTAAGGGGCTAAAAACCCCCATATAGTGACAAAGCATAACACAGTATGACCTGCTGGGATAGATACTAAGTGATGTTACCTTTTCAGGTACGACGCTTTTGCCATCCCATGCATAGCCTCTCTTTGTGAAGTAATTCACTGTTGCAAATTCGATGAGTGCAGAAAACACAAAGGCATAGCACACTGCTATAAACCAATCCATAGCTGTGGCATAGGCCACCTTGGGGAGCGAATTCCTTGCGCTGATGCTCAGCGTAGTCATTGTCAGGACGGTTGTCACTCCTGCAAAAGCAAACAGGTTTTTAGTGCCTTTAGATCAGTGGCTATATTTTGTGCTCTATTTCTCAACTGTTACAATAGACGGAAAAGCCTTGTCTTCACCCCTAATTTTATAAACTTCCCTGCTAATTGAGGATATCAGATTTCAAATTCTGTGGAAGCTGCAGGATCTTAAATATATCTTTTACCTTTATTCTTTAACATTAAAAAATATTATTCTGTTACAACAAAGTTGGAATGGAAATAATATTTTGAATTGTGGACTGGATGCTACTATATGCTTCCTGGTATTTGGAGAATCATTGTTGCTGTTTCTTATTCATACCCTGTGAATTGTCCTACAGATATAACAATTTAACATTTTTAGTTCTTTCTTGAAAGTCCTACGATATTTAGATAGAAAACTAAAAATCTTGCTTTCGTTCAACCACTCGGTATATGCTCCTTCAAATGTATACTCAAATGCACTAAGGTTTATGTGATATTACATTTATCTGAACTGATGGTTTTACAGATTTCTGTCCCTTTATTCACTGATGCCCTGAAAATGGCAAAGAATTTATGTAAGAACAATTGCAAATTACATTATCATTGTTCTTACATAAATTCTTTGCCATTTGCTGATATCAGAGCCTGTCACTGCTGATGAACCTTTTCCCTTAACTGGCATTGAAAGCAAGCAGGACCGTATTGAACTCACTTTGCTTACAGCTGCTTGCAGAAAAAAAATCTACAAGTGCAGGCTAGACATTTACATCAAATCACATGTCCACAAGTTACCTTGACAACTGCAATGTCATGTATTGAATGTGTCTTGCGAGCTCATCTTCACTGCAGTGAGTGTTAGTGAAAATGTGCAGTGGTCTAAAATAGGCCAAATAATGAAAAATGTATTTACATGCTGGTGTAAAGAGCTTGACTTATTAGTGCCTAACGAGGAAGCAATTTCTTGTCCCTGAGAGGCAACCTAATCTTGTCTTTGACTCATTACTAGTGAGCTTGTTTCTTTTACATAGTAGCAAAACAGGATTTATAATTTTCACTATCTGTGGTACTAAGTGAGCTAAAAGTTGTGCTTTTGTACATAAATACATTCATGCAAAATTTCCTGAAACATTCTTTCACTGCCATTAAGAAATTAAAAAGCTATCTTGATACATAATGATGGCATCAACACAAGACTGTTTACTAAAAAACTGTCTTTTAAAAGGAAAAGTCTCAGAAATGTGTGGGTTCTTGAGCCTGTGAAGATAGCACCTTGAACGTTGTACAGTGTTATACATTATTCATTGTGAAACTAGGAAATTTTGTTCTCCATCTAGGGACAATGAAGTACAGCATTTCAAACTGATGATCTGACATTTCTTTTTAAATGCCATGTGCAAAAAGAGGTAAAATAGGTACAGTTTCAATAGCCTTGACTACAGAGCCCCATCAAAGTCGCAGGTTAATTTTCAGTGAAGTTGATAATAAAAATTCAAAACTAATTTTAGATGTTAATCTAAACAATATTATGTAAATAAAATTTAATTATACTGTCGTCTAAACCATTCTTTTGTAAATGCACATCTGTATATCAACAGAAAGTGTCTACTTGGTTCATGAGGTCTAAGGCTATGCAAGTTTTGATTATTGATTTCGAGAGGCACTGGGAAACTAAAGCACAGATGTGAAGAGTGCCAGGAAAGGTCATTAAAAATAGCTTTTGTTCAACAAGTCTTTCAGAGTCTGCGATTCTCAACATCAGGCCTTGTGACTCTCCGGCTTTGCTATGTCCAGTGTAAATGGGCACACTCTATTCAGCCAAGCAGGAGTGCCCATGGCATCCTGCCCCAGCAGTGCTCCGAGGCAGGGAAATGAGTATAAAAGCCAACTCAGCTGTGTGTTCTTCCACCTCCTCTTGCCAAAGGTGTTCAGGTGTCCCATCTGAACATCACAAAAAAGATTAGGTCATGCAGCAGAAATCTCAGATTCTATTTTCCTTAACTGAAGATTTATTACATCTTCTTTTTTTCTTTTTTTTATTTGTGTACTTGACTTGGATTAGTATCTCCAAAGAACTTGCTAGTTGTTTGTTTCTAATTTTAAGATAAGCATTTGCAAGCAGTGGTTAAAACACTAGGGGCCAACTGTGTAAACTTTAGATTTAGAGTCCTTTAGATTGCCTTTAGACTTCATGCATTGAGTGCACCTATTCGCCCCTGTAAGTGCAACAAGTTGTCGCTGATTTCAACAGGAGACCTTTAGCAGCAGCCTGGAAAAGGGATTGATGAAAAAGAACTTTCAAAGGGCCTAAGGGTGTCAAGTGACCAACACCCATTGGTTAAAGCCTTTTTGACCATCCCATGAATGTCATTGCCGTTGTCAGAAATGTTTTATTCATATACTTATTGTTTTGGAAAAGTTGAACTCTAATAGATAGCTTAAGATATTTTCAAGTCTCTTTTTACAATCAGTTTAAGAGCTTTGGACCTTAAATCAGTTTCTGCTACATCTTCACAATGAAATGTGTTAACTGTTGTGTACTGCACTATGTCCAGGCTCATGCTGTTCTCCAATATAGTGTTATGCGTAACTAGTTTTACCATAAAATTTCTTAAACCTGTTTGGCTTATGACTGCCAAGGGCTTTATAGGTCTTGCTTACCGAATACAGTTCTTGCAGGAACAGATTCTCTGTTAAGCCAGAAGGACACCTGTGACAGTATCACTGTCATGATGCATGGCAGATAAGTCTGGATGACAAAGTAACCAATCTTTCTCTTCAAATGAAAATGTGTAGTCATAACAACATATTCCCCTGAAAACAAGAAAAACAGGGACATTAAAGCTTTTTAAATATACAAGTTAGAGGGCCTTATAGGAAGTATTTTTTCATTATATTCACCAATATTATTAAAAAAAAAAGTCCTCAGATCAAAGTGGGTCAGCTATGAAGAAAACATTTAATGCAGGTTCTGAAGTTCCACTAATGACACAAAACTAAACAGTTCTGGGAAATGCAAATTAAATTTATGTCTTTTCATCTCTGCTGAGTAGTGAATGAAAGTCTGCATTAACCGGTGGCTGTTTAGGCCTCTTGTAAAAGGTCTTATTCCATTAAAAGATGGAAAACCACCGTAATATACACGTAAACATCATATAAAGACTAAATCAAGACAGGCACTCAGAAGTGTTTCAGTTGGGCCAGGCTTAAGATGTAGTTGTTGATGTGATTGTGTCTGCATTACCATTGTCTGTGTTTTATGTAATCTGAAGATTAAGTGTCACTGTTCTGCTAAATCAGTACTTTACTAAATGATTATTCTCTCCTGAAGTAAATGGACAATGCAAGAATAACACAGATTATTTTCATTAGCACTAACTTTTTAGGTGCTACAGAAACATCAGCTGGGTATTCTAATTGCAATTGAAAGGAATCTTGAGTGTTTATATAACTCTATAAGCCTTTTCTGCCAGAGCACAGCAAATATTGACTCATTTTCAGATCATTATTTACATTATTGAAAATGGATTTTGAAAACCAGTGTATTTTCAAAAGATTGAAAAAAAACCCTATTGTGACTTTTGGGGTGTTTTTTTGAGTATATTGATTCTTCTTATTATGCAAGAAACATTATCTTAGGAAAGAAACAAGTGGACATGTAACTGAATGGAAGCCTCTGTCTAGATTAGAGATGACGTGAAATTACTGTTATTCTGTTTTAAAATGTACAGAAAAAGATTAAATTGGATTGAAAAACTATGTCTAGACATTGACTGCTTATGCACCAAGCATGTCAAATGTCCTTTTCTTTAATTCAGAGTCTAGAAGAACATTCACTTGAACAATCTTGCTCAATGTATAACCCTGAGGAAAGCTTATAAATAAGATGTGACAATACTTCTGGTATGTTTCAGTAGCAAAGGGGGAAAGGAGAATCAATTATAAATTGAGAGGTAAAGCAAGGATATACAAGGAAAATTTTCTTTCAAAAATAGGACTGGCAGAAGTAGTGTAGTAGCATTATTACTTGAATTTTGCCCACCTTTCTTTAACTTTCACTGAAACAACCTTCTTTTCCTCTGTACCAGAGATAATGATCTTATGAAGGGTGCCAGCCTTGGCTAGAAGAGCCAATAATTTAATTTTATCTACTAAAATATGACATGGCAAGCTATTTTAATGCAATCAGATATAGAATGCTTACAACGGTATGTCAGAATTAATTCAGTGATTGTAGATGGCAAGCTAAGAATACAGAGTGAACACACCACTGTACTCTGAAGCTTTATTTAGCTGCTTAAGTTATCAAAGTATTTTTAACCTCTGGAAAATCAGAAAAAGATTCAAAGCATAAAGGCAATTAAAAAGACAAGGAATGCTCTCATCTGCTAACATTGCAGCAGATCTGAGCTAGAAGTCAGCTAAAGGTAATGCTGTGAGGAGTGAATCATAGAATCACAGAACGGTTTGGGTTGGAAGGGACCCTAAAGATCATCCAGTTCCAACCCCCTGCCATGGGCAGGGACACCTTCCACCAGACCAGGTTGCTCCCAGCCCCATCCAACCTGGCCTTGAGCACTGCCAGGGAGGGGGCAGCCACAGCTGCTCTGGGCAGCCTGTGCCAGTGTCTCACCACCCTCACAGGGAAGAATTTCTTCCCAAGATCTAATCTAAATCTCCCCTCTTTCAGTTTGAAACTGTTACCTCTCATCCTATCCCTACCCTCCCTGATCAAGAGTCCCTCCCCACCTTTCCTGTAGCCCCCTTTAAGTAGTGGGAGGCAGCTATAAGGTCTCCCCTGGAAAGCAGGCAAAGCATAGGCCTAGAACAATGCCTACAGTTCAGTTACAAGGCAAAAACATGTTTTTAAGTCTTCAAAGTACCAACGGATGCAGGCACTTACTAGAAGATAGTATATCTTTGATGAGGTTTATTTAAATAGCTGCAGGACATGAGAGTAGTCCAGCTATTTACTGAATCTTTAGCTCCCCACATTTTATTGCTTGCTTTAATCGAAAACCAGCCACATTCAAGACAGCTGCTGACCACTGTCTAACTTCCCAGCCATTCCTCTCTAAGACTGTTTTCAAATATTTGTAATTCAGCCATAAAATTCCCTACAAGCTAAAATTTCAAATAGCTCTTGAACAAAGTATTTCATATATTCGTAGTGTCTGATTACTAGGCTTTCACAAGTTGTAGCACAAGTTATAGCTTAAGCATCTTACATTCTCTTAACTCTTATTCTCTTATCCAAAGAAGTTAGAAAGAAAGGTATTTCTTTTTAGCTTCCTTGGGATTCCTAGTCTTCTACAAATAACTGTGTTGAGCAGATAAATTTGGTTTTCACTTTATTTATTCCATGAATTTTAAATCAGTTTATATGTATTACATAATATGAAGCATTTAAAATTGGTCACACAATTCCTTCAGCTATACTCACTCAGTGTTTCCATTGGTTGTCCATATTTGAATAATTTCAGTGCTCTGGAAGAGTTTGTGCCTGCGCTCAGCACTTCTGTAGCTGCAGTTTTTAACCAGCCCTTAATTCTACATTATATCACAATAATTGAGTCAAATGTTCAGGTGATATAAACAAACCTGTGCCCTTAGAAGAAAACACTTGATTATTCGGTAAGTTACATCAAACTTATTACTCAGTATTCTGTAAACTGTTTATAATAAGCCCAGTTTATGAGGTAAGAGCCTAAAATTACTGTGCATGACATCAGACATAAGGTTTGAGGTGGGGAATGAGTTTAAGCTATAATACTTTTTCTGTCACTGTAGGTAAGAAATAAGGCTTTCCTTGCTATTAGTTTCAAACAAAGTATTTCTCCTTTACTATTTATGCCATGTATTCCAATAGAAAAACTCTTAAGAACAGCATCCTTTCAGCAGACTTACAGAACATTAGAAAAAATTATACCATTGTGGGTATAAATCCTGATGATTCTCTATGCAAAGCAATGTTTTCAAGGTGGCAAAATAATTGTATGTAAATAGAAACTCGCACAAGCCTTTTAACCATCTGTTAAGGTACTTGTAAAAAAAGATCACTTTAAATTCTTTCTGAGTCTATACGGGTTAGTTGGAGAACAACAGGGAGTTTACATACAAGTAAAAAAATGGATGACTCTGCTTAAGCAAAACAGCAGCAATGATTATTATTTTGTTTAATGAATTCTAGTTTTAAGCCTGTAGTACCTGCATATTCCATTGCCAGCATAGATGAATAACTGTACTATAAAAAAATTGTAGTCTTTCAAGATTCTCTTGTCATAAAAAAATCAGTATTTGTAGTTATGTTGTTCTAGATCCAGAAATAAGGATAGCAGATGGCCTACTAGCAAAGGAAGAAATTAAAGAAAAAAAAAAAAAAGTACTTTATGGATTCACCAAATCACTTAACAGTTTTGAGAAAGTTTAGAGTAACACAGTTGCACCCAAATTCTTGGAAAATACATGTCTGGAATTCCAGACAACTATAAATATCATCTTAAAATTGCCCAAGATGTTGTAGATTCCTCTAATGATCCACAAAATCAGCTGCACAAGCGCTTCATTTTCTTCTTAATAAAAGTGCTGAGAACTCTTAAGTGAAGATTGTCAACTCCTTTTGTCTTTTTGTCAAACGAGTCATCACCTACAACTCTAAAAGTACGGAGAGATTTCATAATTTTCATTGCCTATGTTGTATCTTAAAACAGAGATGATCAGAGGGCAAAGATGTGCTTGAGGGTTCTGTTGAGACTTTAGTTTTGATAACCATTGTATTTAGTTCCTGATAATGTTTTTCTGCATCTAGACAATAGTAACTTTATTTCAGCACTTATTAATTATACTGTATTTAACTTTGTAGATAAGCATGGTAAAGAGTTTCTTCAGGTAGTAAAAGGAGGCAGAATTCAAACCTATGAAATATCATGAGCAAAACATTTTTTTTTATTAATTCTTTATGGAAACGCATGAAGAATTTTTACATTTCTTATGTTTGCCTTCAGTTCTGTTGAAAAATGTATTATCTGCCTTTTTTTAACAATTTACAGGGTGCTCCTGAACTATATCTGGTATTATCAATTTGGTTTAGATGTGCTCCCAAGCTTACGATCTCTTCTGATTACCCTGCCACCTTTATAATGCATCCAGCAAGCAGAGGATTGGTGATGAGTGCAAATGGACAGGCACGCAGGTTGCTGAGGTCTTTCTAAGTGAGTAGCTTCAGAACAGAAAGAGCAAAGAGCTCGAGATCTTTGCTGTTGCTCAGCAATCCTATTGACATTTCAGCAAAGGGCAGCTGGGGTGAATTATTGGCTCCACAAAAGCCAATGACAACATTTCTAGCTATGGCCAGGCCAAGAGTTCTCCTCTTTTCTTTTTGCTTGTCTGATGCATGCCCCTATGCTCAATAATGGAAGAAGTGAATCTATGGGAGCCGTTGTATTGATATTGTTCTTATGCAAAGTCCTTAGTACTGCCACCTCACTTACTTCTTTTATGATTACATCAACTGAAGAGAAGTTTCCAAGCAGTAACCTGAATATTAGTCCAATGGAAACTTTTGTCTGTGAGAAATATTGTTGGCTTAATAGAGTGTATGAATATATTTTGGCAGGCTAAATAAGATTCAGACGTGATTTAGAGTTCACCTTAAATTGACTCACTTTTCCTTAAATGTTCATTGACTTTATGAATGACACATTAGAAGGCTTGGTTTATGCAGGTATAAGTGTACTTTTCTAGTTCAATCACAACACCAGGTGCATTCAAAGGAACAACTACTCCTAAAGCAGTGTTTTCTTTTGGTCCATTGAACAGTCAATCTAGTCAACACTTTGAGCTCCTGCTCATGCCCAATGCTCAGTTTATTACTGAATTTAGCTCTTTGTGCCCCTTCCAAATTCTTATCAAAAAAAAAAAAAAATCCATCTTGAAACAAACACTGCAAAGTGAAAAAGCAAAGGTTTTTAGCCAGCTTCAAGGTTACAGATATGTAATACAATATCAGCTATATTTCTGTATCTCATTAATAGTTTTGGAATTAAAGCTAGTGCTAGCATTAACACACCTAAATCCTGTTTGTATTCACTCTCTAAATACCTCCTTGAGAAACTATGTGCTTGCTTTTAGGAACTTACTTCACTGCCCCAGGAATATGATCTTTGTGGATTCATGTTCTTATACTATTTTTTTAAGCTTATATAGTAAGCAGATAATATGATAAGGATATGAGGATTGCTTCTTTATAACGTAAATTACTGTTTTATCTGGCTAGATCTGTCACTATAGGAAGCTTTTTAATCGTTCAAATATTTTAACTACCAGCTGAAGTAGGAAAATAATCCCAGGATATGTTGTCTTTTCAGAGTAATGTTTTCCTAATCTGAAGCTCATATATTGCAGTTTAGCACTCTCACTCGTTGATCTTTGTATTTTTTTGGCCTGCTCTAAATTATGTTTTGGCAGTTAAATATGACCCTTCCCCCCAAAAAATTTTCACAGACCTGTACTGGACTGAACAATTCCAGAGTCCACAGTTTGTCCAAGCAGATCATATTGGTTCAATCGAGAGCCATCTTCAGCCACAACCACTGACCTTGCTGGTTCCCGTGTCCATTCGTACACAACCTCTGCTCTGGTATAAGCATCTAATTTAAAAGAAATACATTGCATTTCAGCTTTGCAACTTCTATTGCCATATGGCTTTATCAGAACAGTGTTTTAAGCAGGAGTTTGAATATTAAATTCTCTTTAATTATCTGTAGAAACCCATGACTGTCTTACTGGAACTTTTTATTACGGGAAATATAACTGATTTTGTAGGTCTATCCATATGATGATTAGCTAAACATCTACTGTAGGGCTGGATTAAGGTTGGTCCTCAATGGCGTGAAAATCTTTCTCTGTCTTACATCATTCCTACCTACGTAAAATCTGAGGAAACAGAAGCAAAAGTGAGATGTGGAGTTTCATGGGCATGCAAGGACTCCAACTCTTTTTCCACCTTTTAACTACTATCAAGAAAGATGAGCCACAGTCTTTTCGGTTAGTCATAATGTGATGTTGTCTGGGCCACTGTAAGAAAATCAGTCCTTCTCAGAGTGGCTTCAGTGATCTTTTTATCATCAGCCTGGTTAGATCTCTCCATTTGGTTATACTCCCCTCACACTGTCTTTGCTGTATAACAGGCATAGCAAACATTTCTGAGGCTGCCTAAGCTCAAGTGAGTTTAAATCACAATTTATCTGTTTTTTTGCTTTGGTTATTTCTGGGAAATGCTCGCACTCAACTTCACATTTATTTGAGTCTTGAACAAAGCAAAAGAAAAATGCTGTGAGCTGTCCAAACCTGAGTAGTCTAGTATGTTACATAGATAATTCAGTAGCATACTACATATGCCATCCAGGTGTTTTATGCTCTTATTAGTATGTTATTTATGTTATTTCAGGAATAAAGCTATATATAGATATTTTTAATCTTAATCCCATTGTAAAATTATTCTGTCATTTTGCGTAGTCTGGAGTCTGACAGCTCTCGCTCCGAGCAGTTAGGGTGGGAGTTAGTTGTCTACATAGAGGCATCTACTGTCATTCTTCACACCTAAGAGTATCCAGGAACTAAGAGTATTCAGTATGGGACTGAATGCGTGATCAGAACCTATATAAAGCTTGTACCCACCAAAGTCAGCTGGAAGCCAGTTGGGAAACCTTAGGGCATCTAAAATGACACTAGACTCCTACCTACAGGATGAGATTTCCCCTTTTTTTCAGTACGGGCAAGCAGGAAAGGAAGAGGAGGAATATGATTCACTTGACCTCATTTGTGAGTTACTAATTTTATCTTATCAATGTAAGAGATAACGGTTAGTAACTGAAGAGGTGGCATTGGATGGAGTGTGCTGGTAAATTAATTGCATGGCATTTGATCCTGCATTATTGAAGCAGAAGGGTGCTTTTACTCTCAGACTTCATATTCCCCAAGCACTGTAACATATACATAGCTTTTTGGAATCAATGATAAATGCAAATCTATGTCTTAATAATTCTGACCTTAAAAATAATGGCCTCAGTAAGTACAAGAATTGCTAATGTAGACATGTCTAAGACATTCAAAGCCCGGCTGGACACGTTCCTGTGTGATCTACACTAGGTTGTCCTGCTCTGGCAGGGGGGTTGGACTAGATGATCTTCTGAGGTCCCTTCCAACCCCTAACATTCTGTGGTCCTATGATTCTGTGAATCTAGTCACACAAAGAAAGAGAGGCAATAATTATACTAATTTTCATGCATTTTACTTGTTCTGGAGCATAAGAGTAGTTTGGAAGAGAGAGGACTGATTTTCTGAGCTGCTGAGAACCTGTGGATTGGGCTAGAAGGAAGGGAGTACACTCAGCAGTACTGCCAATGAGCTTGCCCTGCCCTCTCACTGCCAGATTCCGTGCCCTGTTCAGCTTCCATCCTCAGCTTCCAGTTCAGATGTTGCATAAGTAGCAACACAGCCTTTTGCTCCTATCACTGCTGCTTTTCAGAGTAGCCTTAGTTTTAAACTGACAATCAGATTTTTGTGGTAAGAGTTGAGGAGAGCATCTGCCTTTCTGATTTTGTTTTGCCAACATATGGCTTTTTGTTGTTCCAGAATCTCTTTAGCATTTGTCACATTGAATTTACATTGGAATAACCTCTATCTTAAGCTGCTATTTTGGCAAATCACTTTAGCCTTGGAGCTAGGTCAAATATTTATTGGCGTCTACAGTACATGCAGAGTCCATAGGAGATGTACAACTCCTTCAATATGAGGCTTTTCTGAATCCAGCTCCATAAGCGATGAGTAACAGTGGAGAACATGGAAAAACTCTTATCCAATTTAATCCAAAACAAACAGAGCTGGGCAAACACTACCTTGGGGAGCTACTAAATGTAATATTGTAGTCTGCACTTAAAGCATGGCTTTCATAACAGTTAAATGTCTTTTTCAGTAAATTTTCTCAGTCCATTAAGTTCATTATAATTAATTGCTTTAGTTCTTTAACAGAAATGTCCCAAATGTATTTAATATGATTCCCACTGAAAAAGTGGCAATTAAATGTAAGAACTGTTCTTTTTCTATGTGCAACAGTAAATCCCATTTTCACATCTTGCTTGGGTCCAGCTATTTGTCCCGTGGGAGATATTTCTATTTATATCAATAACTAAATATTGAGGCAAATAGTCTGTAATCTGATAATTATGACATATAATCTGATGAGAAGGAGGGGAGAGGTCCAGCTTTAAGGCCCTGTTCTGGATGGTGAATTCCCCATGCAGTGTTTGCAGTAAAACCATGTTACAGAAAGAACTCCTCCCCATAAGGATCCCATATTAGAAGCTCACCTGAATTTAGTAGGGGAATGCAAAGTTTCCCTAAAAACTCATCGATTTTCTCTCACGGCCCTTCCCAGCACCTGGAGTTACTTGTTTTTCTAGGTCCTGTTTAGGACAGCTGGCATGATAGCCAGTTAGTGTTCAAAACAAAAAAATATTGAAAACAGCCTGTAAAACATGACAGACCATGCCTGCACTCTGAGCTTAGAATGCCAGTTTTCACCTCTGACTTTAGTGTAATAAATGGTCTTTAAATCAGAAATATCATTGATTTTGTTGTTGTTGTTGTTCATTTAAGAAAATTACATATATTATGATAACGAAAATATTTTTGCAGGATAAAAAAGAAACCAATTTAGATACAAAAGATAGGCAGATGTACCTGCACGTATTTTTGTTATCTTGTTTTTATTATAATAATTTATTTTATTATAA